AGCAGCTTGTGGTTCCTCCTGGTGAGAGTTAAAGCAAAATTTTGGGATACTGCTTGGAATTCAGCAATTCCAAGCTGGGGTTTGTTCTTATAAAAAGCACTTGGTGCTCTCTTTGGTGAGAAAGTTTCACCAAAAATGCTCCAGGATGCAAAACGGGCAGGAAGGTGTGAAATGGGATGTTCAGAATGGTTTTGGTTTTCATGGAATCACAGAATCCCAGACTGGTTTGGGTTTTGGAAGGGATCTTAAAGATCATTTCGTTCCACCCCTGCCATGGCAGGGACACCTCCCACTGTCCCCAGTGTCCAGCCTGGCCTTGGGCACTGCCAGGGATGCAGGGATGGAATTCCATGCCAGCCCTGCCCACCCTGCCAGGGAACAATTCCTCATTGCCAAGATCCCACCCAGCCCTGCCCTCTGGCACTGGCAGCCATTCCCTGTGTGCTGTCCCTGCATCCCCTGGCCATTGTCTCTCTCCAGCTTTCCTGGGGCTCCTCCAGGCCCTGCAAGGCCGCCCTGAGCTCAGCCCAAAGCTTCTCCTGTGCAGGTGAACAATCCCAGCTCTCCCCTTCGCTCCCTTGTTTTGGAGGCCTCTGGTCTGAAACTGAATAACCAAAAATAATAATAAAAAAAAATTAAATATCCCAGCTCACACAAGAGACAAACCCTAATCCAACCACACTTTGATCACCAAGGGTAAAATGATGGTCCTGGAACTTTTTCCTACCCCATCCCTGTTTTCCCTGCTGTGATAACTTGACCCTGAAAAGGTGAGCCCTGAAAGGTGAAAGGGTTTATTTTCCTGATATCCACTGCAAACCTCAACAATTCCATCCTCAATGGACAACACCCATTTGGAAGGGAAAGCGGAAGCAGGAGAAGAGAATATCCATGAGGAAACACCCATGGCTGAGCTGCATCTACAGGTGAAACATTAAATCCTGTTTGAAACAGCCAAACCCAACCACCTACTGCAGCTATTCCCACAGGGAGCAGCTGGAACCAGGCCCTGCATGAAAAACCCATCGGGAATTCCACAGGGAAGCAGGGAAAAGGGATCCTGGGTGTTAAACCTGATACTCTGCCAGGCAGAAAGTGTTCCCAAGAAGCTGAAGAATGTGAGGCTGCCACCTCCACCCACGTCTGCTCTGCTGAGCAGCCACAATAAAATTTGGGTTTTTTTAAATAGGAACAGAGCTGTGAGCAGGAGAAAGCCAGCGTGGATTGCTCTGCAAATCAGGGAGAGGAGTGAGGGGGATGTGAGGGGTTGGATCCTTCGCCTGAGCTGACCTGGAATTGCTCCAGCCAAGGGAAGGAGCTGGGTGGTGCTTCCAGTTTCTTTTTGCTTTGTAGAGCACATGGTCATTGGCTGATTTTTAGTGGTAAAATCAGTAGGGTTTAGTATGGTTAGATTGGGGTTTTGGGGAGATGATCTTCCCCGTGAGGAAGACACAGTTTGCCCACAGAATTTTGTGGCTTCCCTATCCCTGGAAGCATCCAAGGCCAGCCTGGATTGGGCTTGGAGCAGCCTGGGATAGTGGAAGGTGTCCCTGCCCATGGTTTGGGTTGAAAATAAATGATCTTTAAGGTCCTTTCCAATCCAAACCATTCCCTGATTCTGTGATTATCAAAAGTACCCCAGACCCATCAGATTTGCAGTAAGTCCACTAAGCCACAGACCTTCCAAGCCCTGGGAATAAAGGAAAGTTCCAAGAGTTGCCTGAGGTGAGTGATAACCTTTCCTGCCTGCAGGAAGGAGCACCCTGCTCTCAGAAAGAAATCCCAAAATAAGAACTATTCCCAATTCACTGTAACTATTCCTCTCCAAAATCCCAGCAGAGAGCCTTGACTGAGCCCATTTCCTTCTGGTTGGAAAAAGAGATGAATACTCTGTTAGGAGCAGCACCTGCTAAAACCAACACTCTCCACTTTTTTGGGTCCATCTCCCCATGAATCTGCATTTTGATAGTGCTCAGTGACCTGACCCACTGCCCAAATTTCAGCAGGAATTTTAACAGGGACAGGCTCAGCTCCAGGAGATGCCAGATAAGATTCCAAGCTGGATAACTCGGTTTCATCCGAGCCTGGGAGGAAATCAGACTCCTGAGTGACCCTTTTGCAGGTTTTCATTCCAACAAAACCCCCTGGAAAACCACCAGCCACAGAAACACCTGCAAGGCAGCCTGTCCTAGGAAAGCCTCAGCACTCAGAGGAAATTTTGGGAGCATGGAGAATTTTGCAAAGCTCTCTTTGCTACTGCCTTCCTGGGAAAGGTCAAAGCATTTCCCTCTCTCTCCAGCACCCTCATGGACAAATGTCCATTGGGAAATACACCTGAAACAAGTCCTGGCTTTGCAAGACAAACATTGGTTCTGCAGGCAGAGGCAAACAAAACCCATGAGCTGGGCTGACACTGGGAAGACACAGAACAGGCCCCTTAAAACTGCCAGGCTTCCCAACATCCAAACATCCATTGGGAAGCTCCTTTTTTCACTGCTCAAAGGCTCTCATGTGTCAAAAATCTCCAAGGAGAGCCCCAAAGAGATGGAAGCACAGTGGGGCCATGAGCCAGTGTAGGCCATGGGGTGGGGGAATGGAGAGAGGATTAGAATGGACTTCTTAAAACATCCCCAGATTGAACCATCCAGGCTTCCCAAAATTCAAACATCCATGAAAAAGCTCCCATTTTCACTCCTTAAAGACTCTTGTGTCAAAGATCTCCAAGGAGAGCCCCAAAGAGATGGAATCTCAGCAGGGCCGTGAGCCCCCACAGGCTGCAGGGATGGAGGTGGGCGAGCGGAGGGAGGATTAGAATGGACATCTTAAAACATTCCCAAATTCAAACATCCAGGCTTCCCAAATCCAAACATCCATGAAAAAAGCTCCTCTTTTCACTCCTCAAAGACTCTCATGTGTCAAAAATCTCCAAGGAGAGCCTAAAAGAAGTGGAAGCAGAGCAGGGCTGCAATGCCCTGTAGGCCAGGGGTAGAGGAATAGAACAGACTCCTTAAAACCTGCCAGGATTCCCCAAATCCAAACACCAATGGAAAAGCTCCTCTTTTCACTCCTCAAAGACTCTCATGTGTCAAAAATCTCCAAGGAGAGTCCCAAAGAGATGGAAGCACAATGGGGCCATGAGCCTCTGTAGGCCATGGGGTGGGGGAATGGAGAGAGGATTAGAATGGTCTTCTTAAAACATCCCCAAATTCAACCATCCAGGCTTCCCCAAATCCAAACATCCATGATAAAGCTCCTCTTTTCACTCCTTAAATACTGTCATATGTCAAAAATCTCCAAGGGGAGCCCCAGAGATGGAACCACAGTGGGGCCATGAGCTCCTGTAGGCTGCAGGGATGGAGGTGGGCAAGCAGGGGGAGGACTAGAATGGACCTGCTAAAACCTGCCAGGCTTCCCAAATTCCCAAATTCAACCATCCAGGCTTCCCAAAATCCAAGCATTCATTTGGAAGCCCCTCTTTTCACTCCTCAAAGGCTCTCACATGTCAAGGATCTCCAAGGAGAGCCTAAAAGAAGTGGAAGCAGAGCAGGGCTGCAATCCCCCATAGGCCAAAGGATAGAGGACTAGAATGGACTTCTTAAAAGCTGCCAGGATTCCCCAAATCCAAACACCGACGGAAAAGCTCCTCTTTTTAGTCCTCAAAGACTCTCATGTGTCAAAAATCTCCAAGGAGAGCCCCAAAGAGACGGAAGCACAGTGGGGCCATGAGCCTGTGTAGGCCATGGGGTGGGGGAATGGAGAGAGGATTAGAATGGACTTCTTAAAACATCCCCAAATTGAACCGTCCAGGCTTCCCAAAATTCAAACATCCATGAAAAAGCTCCCATTTTCACTCCTTAAAGACTCTTGTGTCAAAGATCTCCAAGGAGAGCCCCAAAGAGATGGAATCTCAGCAGGGCCGTGAGCCCCCACAGGCTGCAGGGATGGAGGTGGGCGAGCGGGGGGAGGATTAGAATGGACATCTTAAAACATTCCCAAATTCAAACATCCAGGCTTCCGAAATCCAAACATCCATGAAAAAAGCTCCTCTTTTCACTCCTCAAAGACTCTCATGTGTCAAAAATCTCCAAGGAGAGCCCCAAAGAGATGGAAGCACAATGGGGCCATGAGCCTGTGTAGGCCATGGGGTGGGGGAATGGAGAGAGGATTAGAATGGTCTTCTTAAAACATCCCCAAATTGAACTGTCCAGGCTTCCCAAAATTCAAACATCCATGAAAAAGCTCCTCTTTTCACTCCTTAAAGACTCTTGTGTCAAAGATCTCCAAGGAGAGCCCCAAAGAGATGGAAGCCCAGCAGGGCCGTGAGCCCCCACAGGCTGCAGGGATGGAGGTGGGCGAGCAGGGGGAGGATTAGAATGGACATCTTAAAACATCCCCAAATTCCCAAATTCAACCATCCAGGCTTCCCAAAAATCCAAACATCCATGAAAAAGCTCCCATTTTCACTCCTTAAAGACTCTCATGTGTCTCTCTCACCTGTCAAAGATCCAAAGATCTGCAAGGAGTGCTCCAAAGAGATGGAAGCACAGTGGGGCCATGAGCCTGTGTAGGCTGCGGGGTGGAGGTGGGCGAGCGGAGGGAGGAAAAGAATGGACATCTTAAAACATCCCCAAATTCCTAAATTCAAACATCCAAGCTTTCAAAAATCCAAACATCCATTGGGAAGCCCCTCTTTTCACTCCTCAAAGGCTCTCACATTTCGAGGATATCCAAGGAAAGCCAAGAAGAAGTGGAAGCAGAGCAAGGCTGTGAGCCCCCGAAGGCCACAGCATGGAGGACTAGAATGGACTCCTTAAAATCTGCCAGGCTTCCCAAAATCCAAATATCCATGAAAAATCTCCTCTTTCCACTCCTTAAAGACTCTCATGTGTCAAAGATCTCCTAGGAGAGCCCCAAAGAGATGGAACCACAGAGGGGCCGTGAGCCCGCGTAGGCCGCAGGGATGGAGGTGGGCGAGCGGGGGGAGGATTTTGGGTACTTACCCTGAATCTGACTCTGAGGCTGAGGGTTAAAAGCTGTGCTGTGGTTCAAGGAGGCTCGAGGGTTGGGTGTGGGGGCTGGGTGGTGTGGGCTGACCCTCATGGCCGTGCGACGCAACTGCTCCAGCTCGCTCAGGCGCTCAGAAAAGGACAAGCTGCCGGGCTTTGTCTGCTCATCTATTTTCTGACGATGTCCTAGTGTGGGAGGGGGGGGAAAAAGATCAGAAAAGCTCACTTGGTACATGAGGTCGGTTGGTTTTGGTTTATTTTAAATTTTTTTCCCTGGTTTTTGCAACCCCTGATCTGCTGGTGAATGTCCTAACCTGGGACTGTCTGAAATGAAAGCGAAATTATCTCTAAAGCTTTGCAGTCTTATTGTGGGGCAGCCTGAGAGGTGCCCAGGGCTGAAGAACCAGAGCCACTGAAAATTTCAGGGTCTTTCTACCCTTCCTGTGGTTTCTAAAAGGAGGAAACGGCCCCTGTGCTAAACCTGCACTGGGATAACTCCTCAAAAATTCCATCCCAGATTGTCACCAGGCACCACAACCAGACAAGTGCTACAGGGCTGAAAAATAACAAACCAAATCAAATCCTGCTTTTGGGTTCTTTTGCAATGGTTTTATGGACAGGAATGGGAAATGAAAACCAGCAGAACTGGAACTGGGATAATGAGGTTTCTCTTGGCGCCACTGGGAGCTCCAGGAATGTGAGGTCCCACCACACACATCTCCAAGGGGGGAAATACTGAATTTTGAGGATCAGCAGGGCACAGAGGACTTGGGCACGTCCCTGTGGGAATTACAGGGTCCAGCACTTCCCACAGCAGTCCTTGGAGCACAGTCCCCATGGAGCTCCAGGCCTGGGAGGGGACAGGGAAGGTCCCAGAGAGCCAGGACAGCATTGGAACACATCTAGAATCAGCTGGAAGGACTGAGGTGACACATTTCATTTTTCCACTGTCCCAGGCTGCTCCCAACCCCAGTGTCTGACCTGGCCTTGGGCACTGCCAGGGATCCAGGGATGGAATTCCATCCCAGCCCCTGCCCACCCTGCCAGGGAACAATTCCTCATTGCCAGGATCCCACCCAGCCCTGCCCTCTGGCACTGGCAGCCATTCCCTGTGTGCTGTCCCTGCATCCCCTGGCCATTGTCTCTCTCCAGCTTTCCTGGGGCTCCTCCAGGCCCTGCAAGGCCACCCTGAGCTCAGCCCAAAGCTTCTCCTGTGCAGGTGAACAATGCCAGCTGTGCCAACCTTTTCCAAGGTCCCAGCCCTGAGGCTGCCAGAGCTCCAGGAGCTTTTGGACAGCACTGCCGGGGATGCCCAGGGTGGGGTTGTTGGGGGTCTGGGCAGGGCCAGGGGTGGCACTGGAAGATCCTTGTGGGTCCCTTCCCACTCAGGACACTCCATGGTTCTATTCTATGATTCCATGATTTCTGCACATTGCATTTGTCTCAGGACATCAGCTGCCTCATGGATCTTTGTGCTTTGTCTTTTGTCCTTCTCTCCATTGGACCCTGCTGTCCTGCCAGGAATGCAGCCCAAATCTCCAGCCCAGAGGTCAAACATCTTCATTTTTCTACTTGTTCCCTTGAAGAAACAGGGGAACTTGTGACAAGAAAAGGGGGAATGGCCTTAAGGTAAAGGGAGGCAGGGCTGGATGGGATCTTGGGAATGAGGAATTGTTCCCTGGCAGGGTGGGCAGGGCTGGGATGGAATTCCCAGAGCAGCTGTGGCTGCCCCTGGATCCCTGGCAGTGCCCAAGGCCAGGTTGGACACTGAGGCTGGGAGCAGCCTGGGACAGTGGAAGGTGTCCCTGTCATGGCAGGGAATGGAATGAGATAATATTTAAGGTCTTTTCCACCCCAAACCATTCTGTGATTACATAAAAAGTAGGCATTATTTTATTTTTTTATTCACTATTCCTTATTCCACACTCCCTCCCTTAACTTTGAATCCATAAACATTTCTAAAAATCCCTCTCTCAATGTTGAAGATCACTGAATAAGCAACAAAAAGTTCTCTGCAGAGCCCTGTAGGCCCCTTCCTCCACAGAGAGCTCTTTCAAGCCACCCTGACAGCTCAATCAAGACACAGGCCCATTTTATGCACTAAAAGGAAAATGTGCATTTAAAAGCAGTTCCCAGTAGCTGCATTTCTAAAATTAAATTTTATAACTCGTCTTATGGTTCCAAATCTCAGTGGCTCGGCATTTCTTCCCCTTGCCAGGCCCTTTGGCACAGCTTGAACTGTCTCAGATTCCACACTGTGCTGTAAATTATCCCAAGGGGAGGGGGAGGAATTAAAATATAAAAAGACATATTATATAGCAGTGGTTTCATCATTAAAGAGAGCCATTAGGGCTTAAAAAAAAAAATAAAATAGAAATAAAAAAGGAGGGGAGAAGGGAAGACAGATGAAAAGGACTTTTAAAAGGACTTTTATCTGCCATTCTGGTTGGTCGGGAGCAAATGCTGCATTTGTCAGCAGAGAGAAGCTGGAAGTTCCTCCAGCCTTGGGCTCCTGACCCTGGATGTGAATGCCAACACGTGGAGTCACACAAGATGTGTAAAATACCTCATCCATGGGGATTATTTTAAGCTCCAGCAGGATCAACCCAGGGCTGGCAGAGCCAAGAGCCGCATCCTTCCAAGTGCAGCCCCACGCTGGCTTTTATTCCTGATTTCAGATCCTCCCCAGACTTCTCCTGCTTTGAAAGGAGAGCAGGAAGGCCAAGCTCGATCTCCTGTGCCCTCCCCTTCCCTCCCAGCTCTCCTGACCCTGCAGTGCCAGGCTGCTCCAGGCTGTGGGAGGATCTCTGCCTGTCTGACAGCATCCCAAAGGTTGGAAACGCAGGATCCCAGGGAGTCCCAGCTGTGCCCAGAGCGCTGAGTGCCACCTCTGGTGGGCATCTCCAGGGATGGGCCCTCCAAACCTCCCTGGGCAGCCCATCTGAAGGTTTAACAACCGTTAACAACCCTTTAATGTCCAAAATTCCTCCTGATTTCCATGATATCTTCATACCCTGTGCCCACTGAGCAAAACTTGGACCTCCCCACCCCTCCCTGTGCTGCCCCAGAGCATCAATCTGAATTTTGGGGGTGTTCCAGCCTCCTGTGTGGGCCCTGTTCCACAACCTGGGATTCCCAGGAGTGCAGGGACACAGCCAAGTTCTGCCTCATCCCTTGAATTTGTGGAAATTCCATTTGGGAGAAAGAGAAGCACCAACAGGTTCTTCCTCAGAAGAACTCTGCTGCTTTTATGGCTCCATTTTCATGTTGAGTGGGAAACACTCAGAAGCAAGGCCAGGCAATTGTCACCTCAAGAAGCAGCTCCAAAAGTGCCTCTTTACCCTCCTTATCCCCAGCAAGAAAAAAAAAAATCTATTTATTATTCCTCCTCCTCTGAGTGCACAGAACCTGTTTGGCACCAGAGCTCTGCAGGAGAGAAGTGAAGAAGCGCGTCAGAAAAAAACGTAACAAATATAAATATTTCTCCCAAGCCACTCTCAAAGCACAGGCAGCCCTTTGTGAGGGCGACCTGCATTTTGGTGTTTATTAGCTGGGCTTTGAAGTTCCCCTCTAAACACCTTGCTGGGGCAGACCAAATATCCTCAGCTCACCCCTGGCACGGGCAGCACTGTTATTAACCCTTTTCTGCAGGTGGAAAATGGAATGCCAGAGCAATGAGGTGCCCTGCCCAGGGCCAGGAGGTGACCCTGGGACAGCCACTCTGCCCTGCCAGCCCCGTGAGGTGACCACAAGGCCAGAGCTCCCTTTGCCAGGATGGAAAAGAGCAGCAGGAACGGGGTGTGGAACCTGCTCCCTTTTCCAGGATGGAAAAGAGCAGCAGGAAGGGGTCTGGAAGCTGCTCCCCTCCCTTTTCCAGGATGGAAAAGAGCAGCAGGAAGGGCTCTGGAAGCTGCTCCCCTCCCTTTTCCAGGATGGAAAAGAGCAGCAGGAAGGGGTCTGGAAGCTGCTCCCCTCCCTTTTCCAGGATGGAAAAGAGCAGCAGGAAGGGGGCTGGAAGCTGCTCCCCTCCCTTTTCCAGGATGGAAAAGAGCAGCAGGAAGGGCTCTGGAAGCTGCTCCCCTCCCTTTTCCAGGATGGAAAAGAGCAGCAGGAAGGGGGCTGGAACCTGCTCCCCTCCCTTTTCCAGGATGGAAAAGAGCAGCAGGAAGGGGGCTGGAACCTGCTCCCCTCCCTTTTCCAGGATGGAAAAGAGCAGCAGGAAGGGGTCTGGAAGTTGCTTTGGCTCTGCTGAAGCACTTTGGCCACAAATCTTGATGAAAATCACTCAAACTTGCAGCTGTTGAAGGGAAACCTTGGCACAGAGCTCACATGAGGAGGAACCACTGCCTTCTTGCCCTCCTCGTGTCCCCAGAGATTTCTCACAAGGATTGAGACAGAGAGAAAACCTTATTATTCTTTCTTTTAGTTCCTGTTAATAAATTTCTCTTTACACCCATTTGAAGTTTTAAACCTGCTTTCCCTTTCTCCTAATCCTACCTCAGAACAAAAAATAAATACATTAGGAATTGACCAACACCAAAGCCATCACACTCTTGAACACGTTAACTGAGAAATCTCAAAATCAGTAATATTTCAAATTAACAAACCAAAACCAAAACTCTTTCCCTTTAAGTGTTAACTTCAACTCTTTCTCTTTGGTGTTAACCAACACCAAAGCCACCACACTCTTTAACACACTAGCTGAGAAATCTCAAAATCAGTGAAATCTCATATGAACAAACCAAAACCAAAACTCCTTCTCTTTAGGAGAAAAGAAAAATGAACATTTTCCCCCCTCAGCTTGCAGGGTAATCAATTAGCAGAGAAAAGGATCAATTAACAGAGAAAAGAAAAATGAACATTTTCCCCCCTCAGCTTGCAGGGTCAGTGTTGGGGATGCTGCAATAAACAGGACATGCAGCCAACTTGGCTAAACCACAGGATTTAGGGTCTTTTTCACCTTTTTTTTTTTAGATTTTCCCTTCCAAACGCTGCCTGAGTGAGGTCAGGAGGACTTTTTGCCATGGAATATATTTTTTAATATTTTTTTGAATATTACAAAATGGGAAGGCAGGGCAAGATGAACGTGTTTCCCCTGGGAATGGCAGGGAAATGCATTTTTACAGCCTGGGAGAGCCCTGGAACACTCAGGCCTGGACAGGGGCCAGATTTTGGCATTGGAGATG